TCATTCGTTTGCCAGTGAGTTTAGCATCAGAACACCTGCCGTCAGGTGAGCGCTGTCGCTCTGCGGCACTTGTTCAAGGGTTCAATTAAGAATTTCTTATTGTAATTATTATGGAAATATGTATACAATGTATAGATGTGTTCATACAACATGCAGGGCTCAACATTGGTAATGGTGCACCAGCAAATAACAGCAAATCATCCGTGTTGGTAGTTTTCTATCCTTAATGTGCAGTCCAGTGATTGTGTGTTGAGGAGTGTAATCGGGCTCACACTCCATTACCTGGATAAACCCTAAGGGAGTAGCATGATTGTGAGAATGCCATAAACTTCTTGCTATGTTTGACAAGGACAGCACTTTACACAAGCCACACGGGTTTTTCATTTTGCTTGTTTGAATATTATCCAGTCCATAAGTCAAGTTGTGGAAGTCGCATGCGGTTTCAACCGAACGAAACAGCCATATGTTACCATAAGTACACCCAATGAATGAGTATATATAATATAATATGAAGGTAATAAATGACCGCTTTTGTTGGATATTCTCGGAATGCGAACTCTCTTTTCACAGGTAGAGCCATTCTTCCCAATAGATGGCAGCACGTGACCATAGGTGGACTGGAGACGGGCGTCGTGCTAGTTGACACGGACTACCATTTCTCCATGCTGCGCCTCGTCAGCCTGCTCGAGAGCACCATCTCCCACAAGCTGTCCGAGAGCAGACGAAGCCGGGCTGCGAGTCGTATCGCGACGGAGGAGGAAGAGGAGGGCGCTGGCGTAGACGTCGAGCAGGTGATCAGGGCGTCGCTGGGGCGACTCTCCGTCGCGCGATGCAACAGCACGCCGCAGCTCGTCGCGACGCTGCACGCGCTCGACGCGCACCTCTCGGGCTGCGCGCGCGCCACGCAGCTCCTCATGATCGACAGTGCGGCGGCGTTCTACTGGATCGACCGCGCCGACGCGAGAGACGTCAGCGCGACCGTCGACACGTCGCACTCGCGGCTCGTCGGCGCGCTGCGGCGGCTCATTGCCGCGTTCGGCCTCGCTGTCGTCGCAACGAAGCCAGCGCTCCTGCACCGGCGCGGGTTGCCGAGCGGCGCCGCGGCGCAGGGTAGCGATGCGGCGGAGCACTACGAGTACATGGGCCGGTCGTGGCAGCGGTTCGTCACGCGGCGGTTCACCCTGTGTAAGGACCTCGGCGCATCGTTCCGCGTGATCGACTCGCAGACGGGCCTGTCGAGGAATTTTACGATATGCGAGGAGGGTGTGCGCTTCACGTGAATGCTGTCACCTGTGTCGACTCAACAGACGGCGTGGGTGTTTGCGCTGCCCGTGGTTGGTTGAGGAGGTGGTGTGTGTGTGTGTGTGATTAAGCAAATGCTGCTTACCATAAGAAGTCGGTATTGCGTTCATGGAACGTTGAGGTTATACCACTGTAGACAGCAGGCTGTGGTCGTTTTGCTTGCCTTCCCCTGCTAGGAATTCTTATATTTCTTCCTGCCATCTTGCCTCACAACCTAGATTAGTAGATAATTACAAAATGACAAAGTTGCAAATTAACAGAATATGCAGCACTGCCACTAGGCCTATGGATTAGTGACTTACCACGAGCTGCAGCGTTGCCAGTCAGACTGCAAAGACACATGGCATATAACTGCAATCACGTAGTAACTATGGATCATAGGGTCTATGTCACCCAGGGTACTGCCAGAACGTACCCCGGGTACGGTCAGGTATACTGGAACGTACCCTGGTAACTGGTATCTAATATGGTTAGGGTTAGGGTTAGTGTTAGGGAGTAGGCATAGGCGACTCCCTAGACTCGTTAGTGGAGTAGGCGAGGTACGGTCCGGCATATTAGATAGACTGATAGTACCAGCAGAGCATATAAATCACGTTTATTTATATGCTCTGGTACCAGGGTACGTTTCGGTATACCGGACCGTACCCAGGGTACGTTCCGGCAGTACCCTGGGGGACATAGACCCTCTCAGCGTAACTATTAGTATTAATATTACTATATCGATTGCCGTTTCAAGGTACGACTGCCACTGCATGGCACTGCTGCAGTCCACATCACAAAACCATGTTCTTCTATTAAAGTTGCTTTGGCCTGGTGGGTTGGGACAGGAGACTGGAAAAGTGTACCTGGTAGCTCTAGAACTATAGCCCTCCGCTCCTGCGGCGGAGCGGAGGGCTATACTCCCCATAGTTCTAGAGCTAGGAAAATTGTAGCCACAAGTTCCCTTCTCGCTTAACACTACGTTGGCGAGAGTTTACGCGTCCTACGACGTGTAACAGTCGGAGAGCCTGGTCGGTTTAGGAAAAGTGGAAACATTGGAACTACGAATAGATCAGATTTGGATGGCAAAAAACGCGAGGAAGGGGTGCAATTTAAAACATTTTATACCTACGACCTATTTTTTCTCAGTTTTATTCCATATCACAGCTTGGCGTATATCATTTCGATGTAATTTGATAACTATCAAAATTGTTTTTTGTAGCGAGCATCAACATTTCGTTGCCAACTTTACAAATAGTAATACGAAATCATCGTCTGTGCGAGGTCAAACCGGTATCCCGGATGTATGAGGCCGTGAGCGGTACTGAAAATTGTTAAAGAATTGTTTTGATATTCAGTAATATTAAGTACATATATTTTATGATTATGAATTATTAATAATATCTACCATAGATACCTACATAATAACGCAGAAATAAAGTAACATGACTTATAGAATTATAGATCTGGTTATTAAAATAGTATTATCAGAATTATGAGCGAGCTGGCGCGACATCATGGCTGCGCCCATAAAGGAAGAAACTGGCTCGCAGGTAAATAACAATGATATAATATATAACTGCCTGTCAACCGAATGCCTGATCAGTGATCTAACGCATCGTCTCGCAACTGATCGAAAATAGTAGCGGAAATTTTCAGTGCAAACTTCTCGTCACTGTCAGTGCGTCATCGCAGTCCTCCTCCTCCACCAGCTCCCTTCTCGCCCTCCTTCTCCCTTTCTTCTCTCCACCAGCTTCTCCCTCCTCCTTCTCCACCAGCTTCTCCCCTCCCTCCACCACCTTCCTCCCCTCCTCCTTCTCCACCAAGCTTCTCCCCCTCCTCCTCTCCAACACCTCTCCCTTCCTCCTTCTCCACACACCTTCTCCCCTCCTCCTTCTCACCACCTTCTTCCTCTCCCTTCCTTCTTCTCCACCAACTTCTCCTTCCTCTTCTCCACCAGCTCTCCCTTCCTCATCCTCCACCAGCTTCTCCCTTCCTCCTTCTCCACCACCTTCTCCCTTCTCCCCTTCCTCCTTCTCCACCAGCTTCTCCCTTCTCCCCTTCCTCATTCCTAGCCATCATTGAGTCGGCCATACGCCGCCGTGCGTATAGCCATATTGAACCTTATCCACACGGCCGCCGTGCGTATAGCCAATTGAATCTTATCCACACGGCCACCGTGCGTATAGCCATATTGAGTCCGCCACAACGGCCGCCGGTGCGTATAGTCACTTCCGGCAATAATAGGTGAAAGAGAGTATAGAAACATTAAGAATTTCGCAGTGGCTACGGTACGGTAGCCGTCGGTCGTTGAAGCCCTTTTTGGCGTTAGGGTTAGGGTTAGGGTAGGTTAGGATTAGGGTTAGGGTTATGGTTAGGGTAGGTTTAGGTTAGGGTTAAGGGTTTCAGCTCATCTAAACTCTTCAAATCGTGAATTTATTTCCCAGGCGTTATTTCAAAATCTGGCGCCACCCGCCGCCATCTTTGTCTCGTTAACGGTTAAGTATGAAAGCGAATGGACTCCCATACCCGTAGCCTCGAGACATTAAGATACGGCTACCGTACCCGTAGCCACTGCCTAAGAATTTGGTAGTAAATAGATTTCGTATTTAGTTAGCATTCTATTTTATTGAAACGCTTCAAGTGCCTGTGGCTGTGTCGTGACTGCGTATGTATCACTGAAGTGAAGAAAGTGAATGAATGAGACTGTGGCTCACGTGATCGCGCACTGACAGTGACGAGAAGTTTGCACTGAAAATTTTCGCTACTATTTTCGATCAGTTGCG